TCCCCATGGACTGCCCAGAGTAAAGTTGGGGTCCCACCTGGCTGTGTCCTCCTTGCCTGAGACACCCATCTGATAAATTTTTAACCAGCAGCCAGTGGCAGTGCTGGGGGTGGACATGGAGGAGACAGAACCTTGATGTTTTGCCCACCACTTCACCTTGGGAAAAAAGAGAAGAAAACATGCACCTTTCCAACCCAGGACCCAGGGGGAAGGAGGAGGCTCCTGTGCCCTGCAGGTGAGCACTGGGGGGGAAGGAGTACCTGAGCGAGGTGGAGCAGAGGTGGGAGCGGTGGGTCCCGGCCAGGTGAGCTCCGGAGGAGATGAGAGCAGAGCCAGGGGACGGAGGGAGGATGGGAGGGAGGACTGGACGAGAGTTCTGTTGCCTGGAGACAGCAAACACTGCCTGCCCCGCAGTTCTCCTTCCTCCTCCCCAGGGACTGCAGGATGCACAGGGAAAGGGACTCTCCCCTTGGGAAAGGAGTTTCCCACCTTAGGGAACTCAACCTCTCACCTGTGGGAAAGGAAACCAGGTCGTGACCCTCAGTAAAGTGAATTCCTTGAACAAAGCAGCAAGCTCCGTGCTGCAGCCTACACTTTTACCCTGGTTTTTAAATAATGCACCTTATTTTTTGGCTGATAAACCATATTTTTTTAATAATAGCTCTTATTTTTACTAATAACCCTGATTCATTAATGATAACCCTGATTCTTTAATAATAACCCTGATTTTTTAATAATGAGAATATTTCTAGCAGTAAATAGCTGTGTTTTCAGGAGTGTTTAGCCTGCTGATGTCCCTTTAAGCCCCCCCCACTTCTGAAGTTTAGCTCTTTCCTTCTCCGTGTTCCTTGACATTCAAGAGAGGAAAAAACCCTGCAATGATGGATGGAGATTTTTTGACATTTTATTAAGAGTTTGCCCATTATGTTGATTTGATTACTTTCACTTTAATTACCCTAATTAGCCATCAAGATATAATTTAGCATTGCTGTCACATCAGGCCACAGGTGATATTACCAAGAAGGACTCGAGGGCATAAAAAGAGCCAGTTCTGAAATAAAAATCACATTAGTTGGACCTGAGTTGATCAAACGCTTCAGTCTCTCCGCTGGGATCCAGGGATTGAACTTGGGGGAATAAAAGTGAGGCCAAAGCCTCCAACGGATCGTGGTCCAGGCTGCAAAAATCATTACCCATAATTTGACTGTGCTGTATGACTGAGTGGGCTGGAAGTTGCTTCCAGCCACGTTTTGCCTTGTAGATACAAAGAACGTGAGGATGGCAGTGTCCTCCATCCATCTCTGCCAAAAGAGTCCTGATTTAGCTAGGGATCCTGTGTGCTCACTGCTGTGGGCATGGCTGGCCAGAAAGGGAGCAGGACCAGGAAGGAATTGCTTTGTTGGCTTAGGGTTCTGTAGCAGGTGGCATGAAACAGTAGTGAATTTTATGTTGTGATTCAAACTTCAGCTGAGATAAGAGGAACAGTGTCTACAGCATTTCAGTGCTGGTGGAAAAAGAGTATTTCTCTGGGCCCTGGTATGACCCTGGAGGTGTGGGATGAGATGAGCTTTAAGGTCCTTCCAGCCCATTCTGTGATTCTATGAATAGAGCCCAGTGTGAAAACCTGTTGTTACCAGTGGCAGAAACAGTGATGTAACTTTAAGGCTGCTGAAGTTTTTCTCAACTTGCTGTTTGTCCTGTGGGTCAGATATGACAAGCTCCTTGTCTAGGATCATAAAAACACAGGAGGGAAAAAAGTGTGGAGATGTTTATCTAAACATTAAATATTGAGTATGCTACACACCAATTAAATATTAAGTATTCTGCAGTAGCTCCTCGTGGTCTCTGATTACTGCTGAATTTTTAAAGGGAGGTGTGTGGGGAGGGAGTAAACACAGTACAACTTAGACAAACTTTGCTGTTTCCTGCTTTGCAGAGCAGGAGATGCACTAAGGTGTCTGCAAAAACCCTTTGCAGAGACTTGGCTGAGAAATCTTGCACTTATTTCTTTGAAATGCTCTTGCAATGAGTGTAACAAGGCCCTTCCCTCAGGCTGCTAAATGCAGGTGTAGGTAAGGCTGTGAAACCACTAATTTGGTACAGAAAATTTGGCTTAAAAAAAGAGGAGAATGAAGTTTCTTTGGCTGAAGGAGGGTGATGGGGTGTGACATTAGGAACATAAAAATATATTGGGGTTTATTTGACTACAGTTCATCACTCTGAGCTGCACAGCAGACACCAAACTCTCCTGTAGGCTGGTGTAATCTCTCAGGGCAGGGAATTGAAGGTGTCTTGTGCTGAATTATACAGGCTGGGACAGTGTCCACACTGCTGAGGCTGAGAAGCTCTGCTGATGTGCTGAGCCACAGGATGAAATTTCATCCCTAGGCACACTTAGTTCCACACCCACAGTCTGCCAGGAGAGCTCACTTTTGTTGAGCTGAGTCAGGATAGTCTTTTCTTCTGAAGGAAATTTGCCCCCCCTGGCACTGTATCCCCACGAGCTCAGCTGCTGCTCTTCCTTTGGGTTGGAACAGCAAATTTCAAACAGAGCTATGAGCTTTGTGACTCTCACATGGGCTGGTAGGGCAGTGCACATGAAATATTCATCTTCAGGGTGTTCCCAGACAGCCTTGACTGTTCTTTATCACAGAATGATTGAGGTTGGAAAAGACCTCCATGATAACTGAGTCCAATTTTTGGCTCATCACCACCTTGTCAACTAGACCAGAGCGCTGAGTGCCACGTCCAGTCATTAACTTGGTGTTTATAAGGAGCTCTGAAACGTGTGGGTGGAAGATGGCACAGGCCAGAGAAGTTTTAGCCTTGTCATTTTACAGTCTGACCCAATTAGTCAGGATCTGGTTGAGCATTGTGAAATTTACCCCGTGTGATCTGAGCCATTTCCCAGCCTGGCCTTGCAACTGCAAGGTTTTCTAGGTGGAGGCTGCTGAAATGGAACCAGCTCAGCACCTCTGTGTCCAGGGAGAGTCATTGGAACAGGTTCACTTGAACAAAGCCCTCGATATGCCAAGGAAGTTGCAGTCCCAAAAGAATAATCACACTCTCTACTTCCATTCTTCCCAGTGCAAAGTGGCCACTATCAAGTTTTCATGGAGTGGCATGTTCCTTGCCATGTTTTTTTTTGGGTATAAGCATTTGAGGGTGGGGATGGTGCCTGGTGTGATGAGTACAATGGGCTGAACCTCAGGAGAGATTCCCAGTGCTGCTCTAACACAAAGAAGGAACCTGTTACAACATCTCAGTAGATAAGTTGCCAACTCAAAGTGTTAACCAGCTCTCTTTATTCCTCCTTTGCTAATACTGCAGCTTACACCTTCTATTTCCTCTCATTCCTTCCCTACTTTACCAACAAACAGGGAGGAGTTGTTAAGGGATAACTTGTTTGGTTATGCTGTTTCCAACTCATATGGGTTTGAAGTGAGTTTATCAACCAGCCACGGAAACATTAATCACCCAGAAAAATAGCACACAGTGAAATGACTTTTCAAAATGTCGTTGGTATAATTATCATCTTGGCCATTACATTAAATGCCACCATTTATAACTGTTATGTTTAAGTATGCAAACAGTAATTAACTTGGTAATGAACTGAGGACCCCTGTGCCTCTCTTCCCTCAGCTAATTTGCATGTTAATTATCATTAGCAACCAGGGAAACAAGTTATAAACAGCTTAATTAGCAGCTTAATCATTTTTACAAGAAAACGTGCTGCACTTTGCTACAGGAGCAGGAGCTAAGGTGGGATGAGCTGTGCTGGTCCCTGTGCTGGGGCAGTGTGGGGACACATGTGTCCATGCACACACATGTGCACACACATGTACACACATGTACACACTCTCCTGCTCCAGAACCCTGCAAAGGCTCTGCCAGTCTTCCTGAGTAATATCCAATGTGAATGGCTGAAGCAATTCTCAAGTCCATAAGAAAAAATAATTTGCTTTATTTTCTCCCATTTTGTTTCCTTTTTGGCAGAAATTTTCTGATGATTTAATGGAAAATGGAGGTATAATTTGGTTATTTCATTGGGGTCCTTTTTTTTTTTTTTCTTTTTGCAGGTGGTTATACTTCCACTCCCCTATTATACTATAAGCAGTACCTACCTCATACACATTTTGAAGGTGTTTTTTCTTTTAAGGCACTTTTAATTACATTCAGAAATTAAAGAGCTGGAACTGAGTCGTATTCCTACAAAGGCCATAATGATTAAAAGGTGGCAAATCCTACTAGGAAGGAGGAATGCAAACTGTGGGTTATAGGTTTTGTTGCACAGTGTGTGACACAGGAGCAGTGACCTGTGTGGATTTGGATTTCTCTGCATGTTCTGGGGTCCTGTGTGGGTAAACCCTCCACATGAGGCTCACCCTCTTCTTATACAAAGGATAAAATATCAGTCTGGGAATTCTTCCACATTAGCCTGCCAAGAGCACTTCTCATTTGATCAAGAATCAATCACTTGATGAAAGGCAATAGGAATTTTGTCATAACATGAGAACGCATTGTCTGAGGAGGTTGTGGAATGTCTGTCACCAGAGATTTTGGGAATGGGTTAGATAAACATCTGGAAGGGATGGTTTGGGTATTGTTGATCCTGCTCCACGACAGCAGGGCAGACCCAAAGTCTGAAACCAGCCAGTTCCTGTGATGTGGCCGTAGAACATCCGTGGTGCTTGATTGGGAGGGTTGGGATCTGACAGAACTCA